TATTCGAAATAATCATATTGGTCAAATTAATGGAAATCATATCTAAAGTTTAATTTGAAGCTAATTGAAAAGGGAGCTGGGAGTATCCAGTCCAAAAAATCATCCTCTACTTTAGTTCAACAAATGAGTGATGAACCATAAAAAAAGAAAGAGAATATTTTTAAACCCAGATCATTACAAATATCATAAAAAACATGATACACACAAGTTTATTTCGAAGATGTTGACTTCTTCTGAAACATACATAAAAGGAGGAAAAACAAAAAACACTCACACTGTCACACACAAAGGAAGAAGAAGAGGGAACCATAACTGAGAGATATAGCAGCACACTCTTATTCTGACTGACCTTTTGAGCTATAGCAACAACATAGAGCTCACAAATCATATCACTCCATAATAGACCTTACCCTAGTAAACCTAGAATATAGTATCTCTAGCCTTCAAACTTTGGGAAAATCCAAACACACCCCGAATTGAAGATATAATCGGCTTCATTTCCTTTGAAATGTATTTCACACATTGGCGAAATCCTTCATACAAAGGAAATTGCGAGAGCCCAAACACAGAGACAGGAAGAAGGGCAACCACATAAATGAGGGACGTTGTCCACATCTTTTGATGATGAATCAAGAGCACAACAGCAGCAGTGAAGGTGAGCATGGTGGATACCAACGAGAAGAAGAGAAGGGCGAATCCTAAATGCAGCCTGAAGGGAAGAGAATGGTGAAAGTTTTTGTACTCAATCGGGGACGTCAGGATAGAGAGAAACGTGCACAAAGAAGTCAATGAGAAGATGAGCGAGATAATGTCCGAAACGGCGAATGTGACAAAGAAAGTAGAATGCCTGAGAACAGGAATCCCGTAGTTATCATTACCCCCGGGAGCCGTAAAGGCAGCTGCATAGGCCACGGTGGCCACCAAAGCTGCCACAGTCGAGCACGACTGGGCTGTCTCTTTTATCCATCCTTTTGCCAATTTAAGATCATTTGCATGCTCCTTCTCGAAGAGCTTCTGCGCTGTCAGGCCCTGATTGTTCTGGTGCATGGCGTAATGACTTGGGATTATCTTTTTCACACGCTGGCCACAAATGGAAAAATTATTGAGGATGATGAACCATTTTGATCAAGTAAACAATAGATTTATAACTAGTTTCATTTCATATACTTCTGTTTGTATGTTTGAAGATAATTATAAAAAAATTAGGGAATTAGGCGTGTATATATAAAGTCACTCACCGCCATCCAACGCAATTCTTCTTGCAATTGAAATGCAGGACCAATTGAGCCTTGAGCGTCTACAGGGTAAGAACTCGCATATGCAGCGTGGTGCAATATGGTGTTCCCATCAGTATCAATCCTGTAAGCCAACCTTGACGTTATTGATTTGCTCTTTTTTAGTATGTTAAAGATGGCCAGCCGGCGATACTTAATGGCCATGTGCAAAATGTTTTGTCGAGTTACAGGATCCAACACTTCCACCGCTTGAGGGTGAGACTCCAACATTTTTTTCACAATTTTTGATATTCCCATGCGTGTTGCTATATGCAAAGGGGTCTGCTTAAGGGTAGATTCAGAGGTTTGTTGTGGAGGATCATCTGATTTGTTTGGACATACCAGAGTAAATGTGTTGATATCGGTTGTTATATTTACCGCCCATGAATAGTCCTCCTCCACCAGCAAACGAGTGAGTGACGACAGACATTTTTGATTTTTGATTTCATCGAACATATCACGGATTGGTCGCCATCCTAGTAAGTTATGATCATTATATATATGCATCCATATTAATATTCATGAGAGATATTATGAAGAGAAGGAAAAAAGTAATAAAGCTGTAAGAGCATGAAAATGAACCTTCAATTGTACAAAATTAGTCTTAGATTGTCATTAGAACTACATGGCCGTATCCTATGGTGTGACTAGAACTAGCCCTAATACAAAAATATAATGACAGCCATAGTCAAAAGGAGCAAAATTAAAATCTAACCTCACACCAGGTTTAAGGAAAATGTTTCTTAACTAATAATGGCTTACCAACATTTCATATATAACTTATTCTTTTTTTCTAACAAAATAAGTTGTTTTAAAGATTTTATGCAAGGATATATATAACTTTGAAAGTTTGATTAGTTACTTGTGATATTCTGTGAACAACTAGACTGGGAGGGCTGATCGATCCTGCTCTTCAAGTCATCAGTAGAAGGGTAAATCCCTGAACGATAAAGAGCGCACAAAGATCAGCATTATCACATCAGAAAGCCTTGCATAAATAAAGCTTGGATTGCACTTCATTCTGAGAGTGGAAATAGCAATGGCAAGGCTAACATGCATGCGGCTGTAGCCCAGGTAATCCTTTTAAGAAAAAGAAAAATTACCATTTATAAATGGGGCTATAGGCTGACTCATTGGCATGGCCATTGATAAATTTTTTTTATATAAACCTGAAAAATGGGCCTAAGTTGATCCTAAAAAATAATAGATGGTTGTTCCTAAATTGAATTTGTGAGTTTATATCTAATTCTAGTAGTAGCAGTAGCGTAGATAGTACATTTATAAATGAGCATCTTCCATATGTTTTTGCAAAATTTGGCTTCGAAGGCATATGGCATTTGGGCTAGCAATTGAAGACTTGTGAGTCCATTGCTTTCCTTTCTATTCGCAAGATTTGGGTACTCTTTTAGTAACCAAAGAGCAGTCTCTGCATTGAAAGAAAACTGTGTTAGTAGTAATAAAGTCAAAAAAAATAAAAATTAGACTAATGTTTATTTGGCAAGATTATATATTCGAACCACACATTCAGACAAGAATTAATCTTAATTCACAGCTATATTTCATAGATAACTAACATATATAACTAATAATGCAATTGTCAGAGGGGAGAGAGAGAGAGAGAGACCAAAATGTTGGCTAATGACTGCGATCTGAAGAATGGATAAGTTATCATGGTTTCTTTTGAAGTGGTACTCCATAGCCTCCTCCTGCTGCTTCTCTATATCCTGCTGCTCTATATCCTGCTGCTGCGGCTGCAGCTTCACTTGGGAAGCCAAATATTTGACCAAGTTTGTGTGACCGAAAGCAGCAGCCCTGTAGAGTGGGGTCTCTCCTAAGCTGTTCTGAATCTCTAGCATACTTTTATAGCTACGATACTTTTCCTTGACTTTGTTCTCCTCGCTCATCAAGATCACTGTTGCCTCCAGATTTCCAGACGCAGCCATCTCATGCAGAATGGTATTGCCATAGCTGTTCCCGGTTGTAAACGCATACAATAACTTCTGAGGCTCTTTTATTATTAGATCAATCAAAAACCGAAGCACGTCGTTGTTTCCGGCAACGGCTACGACATGTAGTACAGTGTCGTTGTTCGTTGACAATTGGCGGACTACTTCATCTGGCTTCTTCTTGTAGAATTCTTTTAGGGGTTCCCATTCGCCGTACATGGCCCATTTATATGGCTTTTCGCTCTGACGCAGTGCCTTTCCTATAAAAACATCCTCCTCCATCTCCTCCATCTCCTCCATCTCTACCTATATTATTTTTCGACTCAATTCGTTGCTTTCTTTATAGAACCGCGCGCTCTCCACTACTCTATATATGGCGAGTAATATTTGACATTCCCAATATCACCTTGCTTTTTTTTCTTTATTTTTTTCTTTTCTTGAGCATCACATACCTTGCTTAATCAAGTAACAAAGTAACTTCCATCGTTCTGGAAAAAATAAAAAAATAACATTAAGTAACAAAGTAACTTCCATAGTTGTAAAATTAAAAAAATAAAAAGTAATAAAGCAAAAGTAGAATATAACAAATTAAAAAAGCATCAAATAAATTAAACTTTTTTATATGGATCAGCCAATAACACAGGTTTCACGTTTTGGTACGACTTAAGTATAAGCAAAAGTAATAAAGCGAAAGTGGAATAACAAGTTAAAAGAAGCATCAAATAAATTAAACTTGTTATATGGATCAGCCAATAACATAGGTTTCACGTTATGGTACGACTTAGGTATAAATATAGATAGAAGGAGCTTCTCTATTACAGAACAATAATGCTACGGACACCAACTTCTTAATACCAATATATATTGCACGCAAGTTGTGTCATCTCTCATGGCAACCCTGTCATCTGCCACATCATCTTTTTCCTAATTGCTTATTTTGTTTGGAAAAAGAAAAGAAAATCACCAAGAAAAACAGTAGAAGAGATGACCCAGCAAGTTTAGATCCAATTGTTGAACCCATGCCAGAAAAATAGTTGTACTTTTACTGTTTGTTTACCGTGAAATTTTTTTTTTTTTCTTCAAAATTTTCGTCTATTATTTTCGATATCTGATACTTTTCCATGCATGAACCACTAATCTTCCCCTACCTTGTGCTTCAATACCCAGCGTCAGTCTGCGCATCTTGTCTTTGTGATATGCTTCCATTCCTTTCATATTTATACACATTTAGACTTGTGTGAAGGTATAGGTTATTCTTATTATAGAAATTTTGGCATAAGTGCAATTCTAATGAGAGGTGTTGGGTGCAATTCATGCAAAAGTTGTTGTTGATCCCATTTTTGAAGAGTCTGTTAGAGCAAAAATTATTCAAATAGCAAATAAGACATTTCGATATAAAAGTGCATCACTGAATATATGGAACCTAAAAGTGCATTTTTGAATATAAAATCTGTTTTTGCTCATTTTCATAGGTCAACTTCTTAACCATTGATCACCATATTCCGGTGCTCGGATGTGGTAAAGTTCTACAAGAAACTTGTTCCAATGAGTATCAACTAAAACATATCCGAAATTTAACTCCATTGAACAAGTATAACCCCCCAACCAATCCAACATTGATCTTAGCTTTGGGAATTTGTTTTGGGCCAATTTTACTTCCACAAGGGAGCGTTTTAATGAATTTAAAAACAGATCTCATCATGACATGAAGAATATAAGATTATCTTATATTGGCCATTGGCATCTGCTGTCCATTGGCCATGGATAATAATATGGGGTAATGGGGATTTGTTATGGTGACTTTACATTCTTAGCCTTGGTTTTGCAGTAAGCACTCCAACAAGAAGTATTTCTTTTGCAAATGATATTATTTTAAAGAATTTTAAGATGCATATTAATTGTTTTTTTACACATCAATTCCCTTCTCTTCTTGAAAAAAAATCCAAGGATATTGGTGATATTGTGGGTTATTAGTATTGTATTTTTATGTGTTATCTCTCTATTTCAGTTGCTTTCGCTGCATCGGAACTTCCATTGCTATATCCTTAATTTGAATATGTATGAAATACTGACTTTATGTATGTGTTGGCCTTTTATTTATTAATTCTTAATTAGTAGTGAAGTTTGTTGACCTTTTAGCAGTTCATGGTATTGGAAATTAATGCAGCTAAACAAATCAATTTGCGGACATGCAATAGTAATAATAATTGGGGGAATGCTAACAACATTCTCTTTAATCTTCTCATTTGGACATTCTCCTTTTTTTGCTTGACATGTGTCATTCTCCTTACACTTAAAACTATGTCATTAATATATTATACGAGTTAACTTTTTCTTTCCAAGTTTACCCTTAAATGTATTCAATTTATCTAAAAAAATTTCATAACTTTCTTACGATATTATTATTATTTTTTTAAAGAAAATGTCTGCTTTTAAAAAAAGAGAGGAAATGTCCATTTTTTTTTAAAAAAACACAAAGGATTTTTTTGTTCCTATCTAAACCCTTTTTGTTAAAAAAAGAAAAAAAGAAAGGGACATTTCCTCTTAAAAGCATATATTTTCTTTAAAAAAAAATAATTGACGTTAGAAAAAAATTAATAAGATGGTAAGAAAATTGTGAAATTTTTTTGGATAAATTGAATACATTTAATAAGGGTAAACTTGGAAAACAAAAGTTAGCTTGTATATTAATGACATTATTTTAAGTGTAAGAAGAATGACACATGTCAAGCAAAAAAGGGAGAAGATTCAAAAGAGAAGGTTAGAGAGAAGGTCGCTAGCATTCCTCTAATAATTGTATTAGGATATTACTTTCCCTTCATTTTTGTTATTGATGGTCCTGAAGCAGTTTCTATCTGGTTTGGTTTAACGTGCATCATTTTCAGGTCTAATTTTCTAGGCACCAAATTCATTATTTATGATACCCAGCCTCCCTACAACAGCGCTCAGCTTTACCCACCCGGCCAAAGCCGTCGGTTTTACTCTAAAAAGGTCTCTCCCAAGGTTCCTACTGGCAGCTACAACATCGCTCAGGTGACATATGAGTTAAATGTACTTGGCACTAGGGGGCCACGCAGGATGCACTGCAACATGCACTCAATTCCTGCCGCATCCCTTGAGCCTGGTGGCATTGTACCTGGCCAGCCTGAGCTTCTCCAGCGCTCCCTTGAGGACTCATTCCGGAGCATATCCTTCTCAAAATCAATTGATAATTCAACTGAGTTTAGCAGTGCTCGATTCTCTGATATAGTCGGGTCCCATTATGAAGATGAAGGAAAAGAGAGACCATTGATTCTTCGGAACAAGGCACCGAGATGGCATGAACAGTTGCAGTGTTGGTGCCTTAACTTCCGTGGAAGGGTAACAGTTGCCTCTGTCAAGAACTTTCAGTTGATGGCAGCTACACAGTCAGTTGCTGGTGCACCGACACCCTCGCAACCACCGCAGCCAACCCAATCTGACCATGACAAGATCATCCTTCAGTTTGGTAAAGTTGGCAAGGATATGTTTACCATGGATTACCGGTATCCTTTGTCTGCATTTCAGGCCTTTGCTATCTGCTTGAGCAGCTTTGACACCAAATTAGCATGTGAATAGAGGAGAGAAATTATGGCAAGAAATAGAAAGTGTAGTTGGTAATTCTTTCTAGGCCTTTCATATAGATTGTGGTTGTTGTATGATGTCACTGTTACAACTCATGCTAGACTGCATGTGCGGAACAAGAAAAGTGCACATCGGACGAGGGCCTCTCTCCCTCTGTTTTTTTTTTTTGAATTGTTTTTCTTTTTTCTTTCTATTTTCCCAATTCTCTATCTTTTGTTAAGACATTGTTTTATTATATGCTTTGAAAATAACAGTCTAGACTAGGTAGCATCAATCAAGCTCCTAATCACTTGAGCTTGAGGAGGGGAGATTTGAACACATGACCTCGAGTGCATGGATAACTGCTCTTAATCACTTGAGCTACAAGCCCCTTACTAACGAATTTAACTATTATATTCATTACATCGACGGCGATCCCTTCACTCAAAGGTCCATAAAGAGAAAGGAGAAGGTTGCGAAGACTGGAAATCATATGGGTGTTTTGATTTTCTGAGAAGATAAAGCTCTTTTCTCCTATGCTATGCACATACCGTGTCTTATTACAATGAAGGTTATTGGTGCTAAATGGAAAAAAAAAGGTAGGGCCTATGCATTATGTAAGTTAATTATTCGGTATTAAAGGGTTTAATAAATGTTGTTTGGAATAATCATATTGGTCAAATTAAATGGAAACCATATCTAAAGTTTAATTTGATAAGCTAATTGAAAAGGGAGCTGGGATTATCCACGGTCCAAAAAAATCATCCTCTACTTTAGTTCAATAAATAAGTGATGAACCCTGAAAAAAGAGAGAGAATACTTTTAAACCCAGATCATTACAAATAAAGTAAAAATCTCATAACAAGCATGATGCACACTAGTTTATTTCGAAGATGTTAACTTCTTCTGAAACATACATAAAAGAAGGAAAAACAAGAACACTCACACACAGAGGAAGAAGAAGAGGGAACCCTAACTGAGAGCTATAGCAGCACACTCTTATTCTGACCTTTTGAGCTATAGCAACAGCACAGAGCTCACAAATCATATCACTCAATAACAGAATATCAAATTTAAAACACTTGCAAAAAATAATTTCAAAGTTACAAACACATCACGAATTAAAGATATAGTCGGCTTCATTATTTTCTTTGAAATATATTTCAAACTTTTGCGAAATCCGTCATACAAAGGAAACTGATAGAGCCCAAACGCAGAGACAGGAAGAAGGGCAACCACATAAATGAGGGACGTTGTCCACATCCTTTGATGATGAATCAAGAGCACAAGAGTAGCAGTGAAGGTGAACATGGTGGCTACCAGCGAGAAGAAGAGAAGGGTGAATCCTAAATGCAGCCTGAAGGGAAGAGAAAGGTGAAAGTTTTCGTACTCAAACGGAGACGTCAGGATAGAAAGAAACGTGCACAGAGAAGTCAATGAGAAGATTAGCGAGATAATGTCTGAAATGGCGAATGTGACAAAGAAAGGAGAATGCCTGAGAACAGGAACCCCATAGTCATCAGTACCCCCGGGAGCCGTAAAGGCAGCTGCATAGGCCACGGTGGCCACCAAAGCTGCCACGGTCGAGCACGACTGAGCTGTCTCTTTTATCCATCCTTTTGCCAATTTAAGAAGATCTGCATGCTTATTCTCGAAGAGCTTGTGCGCTGTCAGACCCTGATTGTTCTGGTGCAGGGCGTAATGACGTGGCATTATCTTTTCCACACGCTGGCCGCAAATGGAAAAATTGTTGAGGATGATGAACCATTTTGATAAAGTAAACGATAGATTTATAACTAGTTATATTTCTCTATGTAATGTTGGAAGAAAATTATTAAAATTAAGGAATTAGGCGTATATATAAAACTCACTCACCGCAATCCAAAACAATTCTTCTTGCAATTGAAACGCAGGACCGCTTACGTGTTGAGTGTCTACAGTGTAAAATTTCGTATCTGCAGCGTGGTGCAATATGCTGTTCCCATCACTATCAATCCTGTAAGCCAACCTTGACGTTACTGTTTTCTCCTTTTTCACAAACTTGAAGATGGCCAACTGACGATGCTTAATGGCCACGTGCAAAATGTTTTCTTGAGTTTCAAAATCACGCGCCTCAATCGCTTGAGGGTTAAAGTTGATAATCTTTTCCACAATTTGTAATATTCCGGCACACGTTGCTGTAAGCAATGGGGTATACTTGTAAATAGATTTACTGGTTTCCCCTCCGTCGTGACAACCACAATCATCAGAATCTTCTTCCACCTGTTTGTTTGAACACAACAGACAAAAGGTATTCCTTATGTTTGGTGAATCACTGTACTCCAACGCCCACGAATACTCCTTGACCAGCAAATCAGTCAATTTCGATAGTAATTTTTGATTTTGCATTTCCTCGAACATCTTACTGGTTGGTCGCCATCCTAGTAGTAGTTCTGATCATTATTAATAAAGATATTTAGTGATATACCCATTCTTAGCACTAATATTATAGATAAACCATACACTATTGAATTTCTATAAATAAACCAAAAAAAAAATACAAATTTATTAATAAACCCAATCCTAGACATGTATTTATAAAAAAACCCAAGCACTATTTAAACATAGAAACACACCCAAAATTAACCCCAAAGTCAACTTTTTGGGTGTGTTTATAAATGGGTTTTGAGTGTGTATAATGATGGGTTTTGGGTGTGTTTATAAAGTGTTTTGGGTGTTGGGTTTTTTTATAATTTCAACCTCCATTTTGGGTGTTTTAGTGAAACTCCAAAAAAAAAACCCAAAAAATGACAGCTGACCTTATTGAATTTAATATTGATTATTAAATTACTTTGATGTCTTACTGAGTATTTTGGGTATTTTTATGAGATTTTGGGGTTGAGTTTGTTTTAAGAAATTGATGGCAATTTTGTAATTTATAAGAAGTTAAAAGCCTCTTTGTTATGTTGTAAATGGGCTTTGTGTGTTTCTAAAGTCCATTTCATGTAGGATATATTTATAATTTGGGCCCCTATATTGGGGATAATAGTGAATCTCCCCTTTTGTACTCATCTCTTATATCGATCCTCTCTCTCAATCTCGTTATCACTCCCATTATCACTCTAATTTTCTTCTATACTCTAGCACAAAAAATAAAAATAAAAACTAAAATTGAAATAGTTATTAAATGAGGTCCTTAAGTAAGCAGTTGTACAAAATTAGATTATCACCTGCCTGTTAGATTGGTTTTTTATTTTATTTTTATATTTGCAGTTACGTTATTACATTCTAAACATATACGTTTGGTAGGTATATCGATACTAACTTATGAGCATATTTGTAGGTATATTACTGTATGTATATGATCATAATTTACTATATTAGACTATATATCTATGAATATATATAGATATATAGTCAAAAGGAGCAAAACTAAAATCTAACCTCGCAGCAAGTTTAACGAAAAAGTTTCTTAGCTAAGAATAGCCTATCAACATTTTTGAGATAAAGACGAGAGCGTTTGTAATTCAGTCACAAAGGCCACTACAAAAGTTTAGTCATGATAACTTGCCTAATATAATGGCTTCCGTATTTATAATATCCTTATATGGTTATCTGTATTAATTTGTACAGACTTACCAACATTTTATATTATGGAAAAATAATATCCTTTTCTTTTTTAACAAATAAGTTGTTTTTAAGATTTTAGGGTTTATGGAAGGATGACATTCTATATATATATATATATATATATATATATGGCTCACTTTGAAAGTTCGATTAATTACTCGTAATCTTCTTTCGTGGCTGATTGGATCCGCTCTCCAAGTGGTCGTTTTGATTTGGCGACTGATTCGATCTCCTCTCCGAGTCACAGTTTTGATTTGGTGGGTCCCAATCAATGTTGTCATCATCAAAAAGGCCTGAATATGAATGTATAAAAAGGGAGCACAATTAAAGATCAGCATTATCATCATCAGAAGTTAAGGCTTGCATAAATAAAGGGGCCACTATTCCTTCTTGCTCCACAAGCTTGGCTTGCGAGATCAGTAATACCAATGGCTGTAGTCCGGTTTATCCTTTGAAGAAACAGAAAATTACCATCTATAGCTTTACTTGTTTGAACTGTTGGCCAGCTAAAATAAACTAAGAAAAAAAAAAAAAAAACCAGCAGGTGAGTTTTTTTTTTCTTTTAAAAGAAGAAAGAGATAATAAAAGAATATTATCCATCCAAGGATCACATAATAAGAAAAAATTTAGGAATTTAATGGGTTTTTTTTCCCTAATAACATAAATAGGTTGACTACCCGACTACAAAAATAGGTTGACTCATCAGAAAGGCACATGTGTTGTTCCTAAATTGAATTTTTGAGTTTAATTATATCTAATTTTAGTAGTGGTGTATAAGCAGTAGAGTAGATGTGGTACATTTATAAATGAGCTTCTTCCATATGCTTTGGCGAAATTTGGGTTGGAAGGCAGATGGCATTTGGGCTAGCAATTGAAGACTTGTGAGTCCATTGCTTTCCTTTCTATTCGCAAGATATGGGTAATTTTTTAGTAACCAAAGAGCAGTCTCTGCGTTGAAGGAAAATCGTGTTAGTAATAATAAAGTAAAATAAAAAAATATTAGACTAATTTTATTTGGCAAGGTTATATATTCGAACCACACATTCAGACAAGAATTAATCTTAATTCACAGCTATAAATAGATAACTAACATATATAACTAATAATGCAATTGTCAAAGAGGGGAGAGAGAGAGAGAGAGAGAGAGAGAGAGACCAAAATGTTGGCTAATGACTGCGATCTGAAGAATGGATATGTTATCATGGTTTCTGTTGAAGTGGTACTCTATAGCCTCCTGCTGCTGCTCTATATCCTCCTGCTGCGGCTTCACTTGGGAAGCCAAATATTTGACCAAGTTTGTGTGACCGAAAGCAGCAGCCCTGTAGAGTGGGCTCTCTCCTAAGTGGTTTCGAATCTCTACTAGAGTGCTAAAAGAAGACTGACCGGAAAGTCTCTTATCCTTGTCCACCAAGAGCTTTGCTCCGTTCAGATTTCCAGACGCAGCCGCCTCATGAAGAGGGGTGTTGCCATCGTTGTTCTCTATCTTCAAATCTGCATTGTCATTTATCAGCGAAATAAAATGCTCAAGCAGGTCGCTGTCGCAGTTGGAGGCTACGACGTGAAGTGCAGTGTCGTTGTTCATTGTAATTTTTGAAACTATTTCCGTCGGATTAACCTCGTAGAAGTATTTTAGGGAAATCCACTTGCCGTCCATTGCGAATTGATATTGCATTTTCGCCAAACTCGGTGCCTCTCCTCTTGTCATCTCTAGCTATTAAATTTTCTACTCAATGCACTGGTTTCTTTTTTAAAACCGGGCGATCTCCCAGTACATCTATATATAGCGAGCAATATTTGATATCAATCCCAATATCACCTTGCTTTGGGTTTTCTTTAGCATCACATGCCTTGCTTAATCAATTAACAAAGTATTTCGTACTAGCCAAGAGTAATAAAATTTAATAAAGAAAAAGTAATAAAGCAAAAGTAGAATAACAAGTTAAAAGAAGCATTAAATAAATTAAACTTTGTTATAAGGATCAGCCAGTAAGACATGATCCACGTTTTGATTTGTTATTTGTCTTGGCAAGCCCAGGGCCGGTCCTGAGTTTTCAAAGGCCCAGGGTGAAAATTTAAAGTGTGCCCTACACACATTAATCACTAACACTAGTATACTTGTTTTATCAACTAAGCATTGGTTTTTTTTTTAGTAAATATTTATTCCAAAATATTTTTAGATTTTGAGCAATGTCTTCCATATTCCTAATAATGAAAACAAATGTCCAACTATAGATACCATATCAGTTAGTCAAAGAATTTCAAGAATGCAAGTCAAGCCAATATCAAAGAATTTCTTTTAAAACTCTCGTCATGGATCCTTTGTTCCAAAATTTCAGATTCATCTCAACATTCTATTCCTAAATTATGGAAAACAATATCTATTTAATTTTGATTCCTAAATGATGAACTTATCATCATCGGTGTCAGGGAGAAATTCGATAAGAGTTCATGTCATTGGCAGATTGGGAGGAGATAGGATAAGAGGAGGTCAAACGATGTGAAAAATCTACAAACAAATAAATAAATAAAATCATATTTTCCTTTTCATTTGATGTCAAATCATGAAAAATTACCTTCAATTGATTTATACAAGGACCAATTTTGCACTGAACAAAAGCCTACAATTTGGATTTTGGAATCTCCCCAATCTATCAATAGAAAAATTAATTTAGGGATTCATAATTCTGGAACTAGTATGAGAGGCTTAGATGAGATGAGATGAGATGAAGAAGAAGAAGAAGAAGAAGAAGAATAAGAAGAAGAATAGAAGAGATCGTGGTTCTGAATGCCATTTTTTGTTTTTCTCTCAAAAATATTAAATTAATTTATAATAATATAATATAATACTTATTATATAAATAAAAAATTTGGGACCCCCTTGAATAATGGGCCCAGGGCAGTCGCACTGACTGCCCCTGATTAGGGCCGGGACTGGGCAAGCCATGTCGTCTGTCACATTACCTTTGTCTTAATTGTTTATTTTCTGAAAAAATAAAATAAAATCACCAAGAAAAACAACAGAAGAGACCACCCAGAAAGTTTAGTTTACATCCAATCGTCCCATGCCAGAAAAATAGTTATGCTTTACTGTTTGTTTATCGTGAATTTTTTTTTCCTCTAATTTTTCATTTGTTAGAAAATTAAAAATTAATCAAAAGTTACAGATCGGTTTGGTGCATGGCTTTTCAATTGAATTGTCATAAAATATATTATTTTATAATAGCAGACGTGTGATAGCAAGCCTTGTTGAGAAACACTCTCACGTAATGAAGATAACAGTTTTTTGCCATTTGGTTAATAACTCATTGCCAAGTGGGCCACGTGTCAATGTGTTATTAGTCCGGGATGACAGGACCTGACTCAAATTCCCCTTGGAATCCTTTTCAAATCATGCTTCCCTTTCTACACCCATAGGATGCCGGGCCCATTTACTAATTTAAACCCCTTTTTCCTGCCTTAAAAGCATAAAATGGTTAAGACTTCTACTGAAAACGGATAATTCCAAAATTTACACCTACATACATCCATAACAAATTCACTAACTTCATGCATGCAAGGTCTACACTCCAACCACCGTCAAAAGAAATTCTAAAGTGGCTCAGCTTCGTTATACATATATAATTCAAACCTCAATCGAGCTTCAGGCCCACCAAAACAAAAAGAATTCTAAACCTTATTCGCAAACCACTTTGAGTTTAAGACTCCGTAACCATTAACAGATCCAATGATATATTTTGATGCAATTCAAGCACAACTCACACAGTTTATTTCGTGGTTGCACTTAGGTTAACCTAGGTTATCTACGTACCCTTACTGAGGAATCAAACCACACGTAGTTCTTTCGGTATTGATATTATTGGCATACAATCCAATAAATCAGTCTAAACCAAGTTTCAAAATCAAACCTTACTTAAAGATACTAATGCTTGTGCATAGTAGTCTCATTGCACATACTTAAGAAAATCCCATTGTAAATAACAATATAAAACTCATACTGATTTTCCCTCATCGTTGTTCCCATGATACGTTTATCTTCACATATACACATTTCCCAGACACACAAGACGGAATCCTCGACGCCCGTGCGGCTGAAACTAAATCCCCAGACATGCATAACAGAATCCTCAAAGCCCGTGCATTTGGAACCAAAACCACTATCCCAAATCCCAAAACACAAGGTCATATAATTTTATAATAAAAACTCAACCCACAACCAAATTTTCAATAAACCAATATACATTATTCATTTACTTAATAAATAAAATAAACTCAGATGAACATGTAAGACATTTATAATAATATCCGATATATAAATAATCCAATACCAATATCCAAACATCCCTTTTTCCACAACCATATTCGAATTCCAGGATCGTACAGATAATAATGTCATTCAATATCAAATAAGCATCAATTCGCACTATCCCCATAACCCAATTTATATCACATATGACACTTATCCTTTCCTTCTCCTAATCTTGTACCCACTATCTATATATGTATATATATATATATATCTATATTACACAACCCACACTATCATCATGGACCAGGGGAAAACAATCCAACACGGGGATCGTTTTAACTAGACCACATGGTAGAATCCTCAATACTCATGTGGCTAGGGAATAAGCAGTCCAACCGGAGGACTATTGCTACTAAATATCCCTCCTACTTGCGTAGACTACAGGTCAAGGGCTTCGGTACACCTAGTCAAGGGTGCCCAGCATACCGATACACCTCCAAAGAGTTATCGCGTGTCAATATATCAAGTATCAATAACAGGGGAGGTTCCTATAAATCCAACAATGTCTACCAACCAAGTCCCGGGGGTTTAGTGTCGATCAAGCAGTCGGATTACTCTCGATCGCACAATTGGACTGTAATCGGTTTACCTAAAACCAAATTCATTGACTTGGAGTATCCGGGACTCCGATTCTCCATCCATAAGTTTCCACACGATCCTAGAGATATGAGGGACAACATATTTGAATTTGGGACCGATCGAACTGTTTGAACCTATCGAACCCAAATATCACATATTGGGTGCAATATCTATTGGGTCCAAATCCGAGCATACTGTCGAACTCAGGACAACAAGGAGAACATTTTAGAACCCAATGGGCTGCCACAAAGTGGTCCACGCCCCGCCACCCACCGACGGTAGTGCGTGAGTGCCTTGAGTAATTTTTGATGATCGGAAAACTCCAAATTGCCAGTCATTACCCATACCATTAGAATTAGATTACCTAGGGGATCAACTTCTGTTCTTGGACCACAGCCAAAAACTGACCGGAACTAGACGAATCGAAGCCGAAATCGTCAGCATAATTGGGGGTTAGAAATCAATCTCTAAAACCTCAAAATTGACGCAAACCAAGCACATACAGGTAGAGCGCGATGAGAGGATGAAGTTTCATGTATGGTTCAATGATTTTGGCCACCTAAATCACCGAAAATCGAACAAACGCGGTCGAAGACGAACAAGGGTTATAGCTCAATTTCAGTCCAAAATCACAACCAATCTTGGAGTTTCAAAGGTGGAAATGGGTATGGACATGTAGAAGAGGAAGAGACGAATGTTTTGTGGGTTGTGGAATTGCTTGTAGTGGCAAGAGGGAGGAGAAAACGACTGCCAAAGTGGCTGGTCTGCTTTCGTGAAGGGGAGAGAGAGAGAGAGAGAAGCGGTTAAGATTTATAAAAAATTTGAGTTTGCAAAATTTACGGTTGTGCCACTGCACTTCCTTAAATTATAACTTCTCCATTTTAGCTCCGAATTGAACCCACTATGCGTCTACGAACTCCTGAGAGCGAGCTTTACGCAAAGATGCCACTCAAATCCCCAAAATCCTTCCAAAATAAAAAAGTGACTAAATTGTCCCTAATCCTGATGGTAAAAATGTAATTGCGCAAATAAAATAAATTGAATAAGACGATTAAACTGGGTTGGGGTGTTACAGGGGATAACAAAATAGTGTTATCCCTGTTACAAATAAGTTTTTCTACCTCGTAGAAAAGTTGTCTATATAAAATAATATATTTCAGAAGGTTGCAAAACAGGAATGGTAGCATGAGCAGTTGCAATTATGAAGCTTTTATGTTGGAATAGCTTGGGGAGTTCCTAGATGGGTTTTGCTACTCAAGTTGTTTTTCTTATTTAGTCTTTGCATTTAGATTTAGTTCGTATTT